TCAGGGGGGGGGGGGTTTCCCAAAAGCCTTGGAACACAATGCTTTCAGGCCACACTTCCTTTGAGCCACCATTCAAATGGCAATCGTACGGATGTTGCTGGAAGCCGCAAACCCCTGCCCCCCAAGGAAAAGCAACGCGCAAGATGGCTAAACAAGGGGCGGGAATCATTTATGGGGCCTTTGAATCAGCCCGAAGGCAGGGAACACGGCGTTTTTGCAAGCTTTGGGGCCTGCGTTGCCACGCAATCATTTTGGTCATGGAAGTAACGCAAGAGCATTCCTCGTCGGAGCCCTCGGATGTCACGAATTTGCCAGGGAATGCCAACAGCCAGGTTCCTAAAGCATACGGGCCCCGTCTCGGAGAGCGCGTGGTTTCAGAAACAACTGTTGCGTTTGTCGTGTCGCAAAAGTATTTCTGGTTTATGTACAGAATACATGTATTTGTACATTACATCTACGCGTAGCGTTGTGTCAATCTTTTTCCGTGCCAGATTGGAAGCTTGGCCAGGAGAGACATCAGTTCTGAGAGCAATTCCCTCAGAGCCTTCAAGGAACCCCCGAGGCTCTAAGAACCTTGGCCTTTGGTTTCGGGAAGTTTTCGGCTTTGGATTCTTAGCACTTCTCGAGAGCCAGGTGCGGGTGGGGCTGACTTTGTCGCTGACCGGGCCGAAGAGTGATGCCAACTTCACCAACATGGTCCTGACCGCGCTCAGCGAGTACAGCAGCCAGGCCTTGCCTTTGGCCAGCTGGAAGTTCACGAGGGCAGATAGGCAGACCCCAAAGATCGCAGGTGCTAAGCTCGAACCCTTCGTTTGCGGGGCGGGCGGGGCAGATTATTCAAGGTCAAGCTTTCACGAGTTCTTCTTACTTCGGTACTAAGCAGGGTTGTGGGATCAAGGGTTTTAGCCCCACTTTGTGATACAACGGAATCACCTCTTTATATGGGGCGATCAGTCCTTGGGAGGCCCTTTTTGTTGTATCACAGAAGTGGTAATTTCCCACAGCCTTGGTGCTGAGTGCCAAACATTCCCCACCAGATTCTGGTCGTTGAACCTCTGAAAGACAGCTGAGTTTCTGGGTTGTAAGGACATCCCACCGTGGTCTCGGCTCTGAGGCTGTTTGTCGGTCCGATGTCTGGCGAAATCGCAACCATGTTTCTTGGTGGCTCCCAACCATCCGGTTCCTTAGCTGTTTAGCCTTTTAGTGTTTAGTGGTAGTCTCCATTTAGCCCACTAAAAGTTAGCCGCTTTTAGCGGGGGATCAGAAAACGGGCAGCCGAGGTTCGATTTCTCTCCAAATGCGAGTCGCCGACTTGGGCACGCCCCACTCCTCGAAATCCCACTCCAAAGAGACCCCCCCCACCCGAGTAGTTTAGAGGCCTCGGTCTTCAGTCCATTTGCTTGAGAGTGGTAAAATTTTCCCCTGCTGGTTTTAAAGGGAAACTATCACTACTAGTCTACCGGAAATGTTTCCTTTTTGTGCCAGTGGGTGAAAACGCAAATGGAAGTACCTGGAGTCTCCATGACCCTTAAAAATGGGGTCAGTACCCAAAATTATGGGGTCATGGACCCATTTTTTACAGGGTCATGGAGACTAGGTAGTCGGATTGGGGAAGCCTTTGGGATTTGGCCCAACTTTTTCCCGTCCCCTTCGCCGCTTCGAGATCTCCACCCGCCAAGTGGACATGCGAATGGAAGACATCACGCTGGCCGAGGCGAATGTCTCGCGGATATTTTCGGAGCTTTTTGTCGTGGCCGAAGATTCTTATGTTTAGATGCTTCCGTTTTTGCCTACCCTGGGGGCAGACTTAACCCCCCAGTTTCCTTTTGGGGGGAATCAAGCGCCCCTGGGTTCAAGTCTGCCTCGAAGTCCAAAAACGGAGCCCAGGCCCGCAAGTAAGTGGGTTACAAGGAATGTGCGGCGAAGAACCTACGGAGTTTGTGCGAAACATCACGTGGTTCTATGAACAACTATGGTTGAACACTTTGTTGTATACTGCTAAGTGAGTAGCGAAGTGGGCTGCGGGGCTTTTGTGATCACACAGTTTGTTGAATCCGGTAATTTGAGACTGATAACTTAGGTGTAAGTTGCAAGTGGGTTGCAGTGAGAATCCCTTGAACAATAGGACCATGGACGCTTGTATGGGTGGTGATTTGGTTTTTGTTTTTTGTTTTTGGAGTTATTCCTTGCAAGTCAATCCATTTTATTCCGAGATGCTTGCTGGGTGAATTGCCCGCAAGCCGAAGACATGCAAGAGAGGCCCAAAAGCCGCGCATTGGCGGCAGGCCAGAGAAAGGTGTCTTTCGCCACCAGCTGAAAGCTACGAAATCCTTCTCCATTTGTTTAATAATATTTTTTATTTTCAAAACCTGTTGGTTTTGAAAGGACTCGATCACTACAGGACGTATGTTCTCAATTGTTTTCCACGGCCCTTGGCTCAGAGTGGTTCGCTCGCTCCCTGGGTGCCGGACGGATATTTTTTGTTGGGAGGCCCGCGGCTGGTCGATTGAGGGTGCATTTGGGGATTCTGAAACCCACTGGAATCTTTTGGAGTTGGTTCCCTAAGTTCATAGCTTCTGTGCTGAAGGCTTCAGTTGGCTCTTAGTCGCATCAGCCTCCCGCAACCCCAAGAACGAGATTCAGAGTCTTTTGTGCATGTGCGATGGGCGAGACTCCCTTTTCGGGGGAGGGGGGGGGACGCAAACATACCCTAGTTAATTGAGCTTTGGTAGTAGGGCTGAGGGGCAGGTCGAGCGACATCCAACATTGATCCACATGCTGTCCTTTCGCACTACAATCACACCTAAGCCACCGAATGTGCATGTTCGTTGCAAGAAGCAGTAAATGCTTGAGACCATCGTTGAATTTGTTTCACTGGTCAGTCAGGGCTCCTAGAAAAAGGAAGCCAGGCTTGCTTGTTAGGATTTGCAGGACAGTCCCAAGCTGAGAGATCAGGAAGGCAAAACCCCTGAGCAATGGATATCATATGGGGTATGGGTCGACATTCAGCCACCAGGAATTGGACCGCAGGTTTTAGCCGATGCTTTTTCATTTACCAGGGTTCCACTTTGGGGTTACCCGATTTTTGACCCGCAGCCATATTGGGCTCCATTTTGGGGCTCACCAACTCCCCAAAAGTTGGAGCCTCTCAATGCGCCAGGGCTGTCTACTATCTCAAGATGGCCGAGCCGCCCCAAATGGTTGGACATCCTTTGGATTTTCCAGCAACGCCCAAAAGGGGTATGGGTCCTCCTTCCGAAGAAAACAAATCGCAACTGTTTGGGAGGGTACCAAGATCAAATTCCTGACGGAAGCCCAGTCAGGTGCCACGAGGGTATGTCAGAAAACGGAGCCCTTACTCCCCGCACCAATTGACCATGGAACCCGTCCGAAAATTCGGGACCCGGTCCCTTTGTTGCGGAAAACGGTCCAAGCCAGGAGCGATTCCCCGGACGCGTCGAACGGGGTTCCGTGGTAATTGGTGGGAGGGTACTCTGTGAAACGGAAAGCTCATGAGAGGTGCCCACCCCGCGACTGTTTAAGCTTGCGGCTCGGCCCTTAGACGGTTTCGGGTTGGTTTGGTGTCGGGGTTCGGGTTTGGTTTAGGCTTCGGGTCCAAAGAAGAACCCAGAAGCCACAACCAAGGGTGTGAGCATCTCTCCTTATTGGTTTGGTTTTGGTTTGGCGCCCCATGAAAAACGCGATTCCTCCGCCAGGTTCACAGCTGCCTCCGCTTCTGCGTGCTGGATGACGAGAGCTCGGTGCGCAAAAGTGCGGAGCTGCGGCTCTCTCGCATTGATGGCTATCAGTGTCTCAGGTAGGGTGGTTCGCAAGCGAATCATCCGGTGAACAACTTAGGTTTTTAGATATAGCTGGGTATACAGCTGGGTGCAGATGACTTGGGAGTATGTAAAGGAAACTTGAACAGGAGAAACAAAAAGCAGAGCAGTTCCTTTCGGCGAATCAACCTCAAGTTGGCCGAAATCAGCGCTTTCGAACTCGCCACTGAGGTATCGCTACTTCGCCTCTGCCGACGAGAGTTTGAAAATGGACCTGCTCCTTGGCCCCGGCAGCGGGGAGTTCCGGCACGCGGCCGCGCAGGCGATCTGATCGATCGATCGAGTGGATCGAATCGAGTGGATCGAATCGGCTCGGGTTTTGGGGGCGCGTTGTGGGATTTCTTTTTGGGTTGTCCAAAAAGACGGATGTGCCAAGGGGCTCGTTTTTGAGAGCAACCGCCGCCGTTTGCCCATCAAGTTTTGCTGGAGGTTTGCCTTAGCCAGTTCCCCAATCCAGACCAACCTTTCCATCCATTGTTCAACTTGGAGTTTTCGAGCATCGAAGCCGAAAAGAGCCGAGTGCTTCACTTCCCCTTCCATTCTAGAAGCCGGCTATGTGGCGAAGCTGTGGATCCACCCCTGTAGGATACGCAAAATCGAGCACGAAAAAAGACGACTAAAACAGGACCAGAGGGCTTGGAACCGGTGAGATGAGCAAGCGCACATCCAAAGCCGTTTGGCTCAAGCAGAAGTCGGTGAGTTGTATACCTTACGTGTAAGGTCATTAGCCTGTAACCGCCTGTTCAGTTGATTGATAGTTGGTGTAACCTCAAAGAAGAAGAATTCGGATTCAGGGTTGTTGGATCACTCGGGGTTTATCCCCACTTCTGTGATACTTTTGGGAATCTCCCCCTTATCAGGGGTTCGTCTGGGGGAACGCCTTTTGTTGTATTGATGGGTTCCATTTCAAGCACAGCCGATTGTGTTTTTAGGGGACCCCCAAAATGGTTCTAATACACAGAGGTGTTCGGATTCTCTCAACACCTCTGCGAACACTTCTCCCCGCTCAGGTAGCGGAGGAGTTCCAGAAACCCGCGGTTTTGTGGTCCATGCCCAGCGAGATCATGGAACTCCTACAGCCCAAGGCGGCTCGCTCTGCCCGGTTTCGATGTAGAAAACGGCGCTTGAGGACCGGTTTTTCCACAAACCAGGCGTGGAGAAGAACGGTTTGCTTTTTACCGCCCAGTTTGCACAAAACGGTGTGTTTTGGCGCCTTCTTTTGTGTAGAGAAAAGCAGCCTTTTTTACCTTGGAGTTCAAGCAGACGTTCCAAGCCCCCTGTAGCTTCTTTTCTTTGCTCTTTTACTACTCTTTGAAGGGTGATTCCACAAAAGCCACATCCAAACCGTTCTCTAGACGGTTGGGTAAGGGAAAGACTGCCCGTTAAAAAAGGATGGCGTCCATTCTGTTTTCCGGCTTCCACGGTTGGTGGTTTTTAGTCTTCAGGAGATTTTGAGGGTTGTGTTTCTTTTTCTTCCGTCCTGCTCATGTAGTTTTTAGTTGGCTGCAACATATACTCACTTTTTTTGTTAGCATGCCAAGGCTGCCAAGGGTTGTAAAGTTGCGCAGTGATTCGTGACTTAACCTACGAAAGCACTCAGCAGTTTGTCTGACCCAAGCTATGCTTAATGCTGGGGCGTGGGGGTGGGCCGAACCGGCTTGGGCCCAATTGCAGTATGTTTGTTTAACCCAAAGTCACCAGACAAATTTGGCATTTGGCCAGGCAAGGTTGTGGGCTCGAGCCCCCCTGTCACCGTCCACAATCAGTGCCTGTCCTGTTGCTTGCTTTGCTTGCTTGCTTGCTTGCTTGCTGGCTGGCTGGCTGGCTGGCTGGCTGGCTTGCTGGCCTGCTTGCTTGCTTGCTTGCTTGATTTGCCTTGCTTTCTTGCTTGCTTTGCATGCCTTGGCTTGCCTTGCTTGCTTGATTTGCCTTGTTTGCTTGCTTGCTTTGCATGCCTTGGCTTGCCTTGCTTGCTGGATTTGCCTTGCTTGCTTGCTTGCTTTGCATGCCTTGGCTTGCCTTGCTTGCTCGATTTGCCTTGCTTGCTTGCTTGTTTTGCTTGACTTGATTTGCGTTGCTTTCATTTGCCTTGCCTTGGCTTGCTTTGTTTTGCTTGATTTGCTTTGTTTTGATTTGATTTGCCTTGCCTTGCCTTGCTTTGTTTTGCTTGACTTGATTTGCGTTGCTTTGATTTGCCTTGCCTCGGCTTGCTTTGCTTTGCTTTGATTTGATTTGCCTTGCCTTGCTTTGTTTTGCTTTGCTTTGCTTGCTTGCTTGCTTGCTTTTGTTCTCACCTCCATGAAGTTGCTTTCAAAGTCAACCCCATTCATCCCCATTCTAATTGTTGAGGCTCTAGTAAAGGGAAAGCGTCCAGAGGTTCGTTTAAGGCCAGACTGGACAAGCAGATTTGCGCCTCACCCGAGGGCGGCGTCTCTCATCCTCGGCCCCAACTTTTGCGGCCTGCTTTGTTCTTGGACTTCCCCGCCGCAAAACAGGTCCCCGAAAAAATATTAATCAGACAATACATACGGCAAGTGACCCCAAACAGTGGTCCAAAAGTAGGAACCCGCGCAAGTAACACGAAAGCAGCTGCAGCAGATGAACACCGGGTCTCTATAGAAGGACATGCACGTGGTCTTCAAACAGAAGCCTTCTGAAGCTCCTTTTCAAGGTCTCCTGTGGAAAGGAGATTCCGCGCAAGATGTACTTGAACGAATTTTAACTAATGTTTCAGTAAAGTCCCGAGTGGAAGTATCTTTGCAGGATACGTGCGCAGGACTCCGAGAGAAGCCTCCCTCTACAAGCCAAGACCCTCCCTCAGCAGAACCATGGCGGAGCTACGGGCGAAGATCGTCCAGCTCTACCAGGAGAGCGCCTGGCGCAAGGACGCCTCCTGGAGCTACCCGGAAGATCGCGCAAAGCAGGCGCAATCGACAAGGCAGCGCCGAGACTCTGGGCACCTCCAACGACTGCGAGATAGGATCCCAGTGGAGACGGTCTGGGGGTTCATCGGCCAATTGGGGAGGGTTTGCCGATCCGGTCGCGGAGAAGGTGTCGGAGCAGAAGCAGCTAGAGTCCCCTACAAGATGTCCTGGCAGGTCTTTTGCAAGATCTGTTGAGTGGATCTCTGTGCAGGACTAGCGCGAGATATCTGTGGAGGATCTTTCCAGAACCTCTGCGCAAGATCGGAAAAATCTTGGTTACGAGTAGGGCGCTCCGCGCTTTGCTGGTCCTGCGCAAGACCTCTTCGGGGATGTCTGGAAGGACCAGCGCAAGGTATCCTTGGGTTTTTGCAGGATCTCCGCGCAAGATCTCTTCAAGGGTCTCTTGGCCAGATCTGTGTGCATGATCTCTGCACAGGATCTCTCTTGGTGGGATTTCTTGGCAAGATTTGTTTGCTCTGTCAGGATCTACAAGATCTCTTGTTTGCAAGAGTATCTTTGCAGCACCTGTGGTTCGATGTTTGTATTTGTGGCGGCGCACAGTGAGAGCGATCCAAGACGCCTACAGCCCGCAGGGGGTTCACTTTCGATTTAAAAATTCGTGCCGCGCCACAACAAGAGCAACACGACCTGCCGGAAGCTCGCAGCGATGTTCAACATTCGCAACATTGCAACGTTCAAAAGCTCAAGTTTGCAGAGGCTCCACTTCTACGTTCCAA